ATACTAAGCAAAAATTTAAAGCAGATGACATGACAGTGACTAGTAGTGATGGCACAGTCACTGAAGGAAGGGTCTTTCTCGGGAGGTGACAGGTGGAGAGGTGCCTGGATAGAGGGAATGGCCAGTACCAAGGCTCTAAGGACTGAACGAGGCTGGCATGTTTGAGAAACAAGTGAAGTGAGTGAGCCCCAAGTGTAAAGGGTAGAGAGGAGAGTGTTGCAGAAGTAAAAGGGACTTGAAAGTAGAGAAATGTTGAAATGGTCTTTCTGAAGAGGAGAAAAAGAAGACTTACATGGAGGTGGAGTAGGGTTTCTGGGAGGTTTTAAATGATATTTTATCTTTGGGGCCATGACTTTAAAACAGAATGGAACTAATGTGTCTTGCTCTCTTAGAAGCAGAGCTCTGCTGCTCTGGTAGATGCAGGCTTGGGCCTTTGTGAAGTAAGTAAAATGGAGGGAGAATGAGGTGAAGAAGTGGAGAGTGGTGCCAGGGAGTGAGGGTAATGAAGGACCATTGAATCTAAGCAGCTCAGTGGCATATGCCGAGCAGGCAGAGTTGGGTGTAACCTGGGACGGGCCTTTCTGAGCAAATACAGTGCCAGGGAGGGTGGAGGAGTTGAGAATATTTGCAAATGAGTGATTATAATGATGGACTATGGAATCTAAGCTGTTCAGAAGGGAAGTAAAGTTAAGCAGCTAACAGGCTTAAGGCCAGTTGGTTGTGAGTCTTGATGAGGGTGAAGAATTACTGAACACAGGACAAGGTAAGGAGGTGGTGCTCAGAAGTCAGCTTCCTGAGATTGAAAATCAAGGCAGACAGCCTGCTGCTAGTCCTAGAGCACTTCCACTGGCATTAGAAAAGGGGGTCCCTTCTTTAATATATGCTGATCCCCTCATGCTAGAGAACACTGGCAATAGATAGAAAAGTCCATGGTGCCTCAGGCGAACACTCTCACCTTTGTAGCATGGCAGTGTTGTACACTACACGAGCTATACAAATGTAGCCAAGACCCTCAAGGGAATCATCACAGGAGTGGGTGGCTGAGGTGGCACTGCCTGCCCTGGAAACCCTGCCTGTGAAGGGACTCATACTTCCTTGCAGGACAGAATCCGATAATCATTGTCCACCAAGCACAGCTTATACAGTGGTCTCCCTTTGGTTATGTATGTGTACATAACAGCACAGTTCACCAGAAGGTCAAAATCAACACAGTGGGCTGAAAATGTGGCTTTTCTTTCACATTAAATTCTGAATAATCTATTTTTCTATGAACTGATACTCTAAAAACATATATGGCTGGTTCTTCAAATTCATGGGTTCCACATCTGTGTGTTCAACCAATCTTGGATTGGAAATATTGGGAAAAAAATCACCTCTGCACTGAACCTGTATAGGTTTTTTTTTTTTCTTTCTTGATTCCCTAAATAAGACAGTACAAAAACAGTGCACTTGGCATTTCCGTTGTGCTTGGTATAATAAGTAGCTTACAGATGTTTAAAGTGCACAGGGGGTGTGTATAGGTTATATACATATACAATGCTATTTCACACAAGGACTTGAACATCCATGGACGTTGGCACTGTGGGGAGTCTTAGACCCAGTACCCCTTGGATACTGAGGGACAACTGTATCTTTTTTTAAAAAATTGCTAAGAAAGAAAAAAGTCATTGTTTTTGAGTATATACAATACCCAGACCTAAAAATATAATCCTAAACAAGTGGAAGTCTAGGCAAAGAAAATGACAGCTGGTGGCCCCCGTGGTAAATTCAAAATTTTCTTCTGTTAATCTTTTCATACAGCTTCCATTATGCTACTGAGTATGCTATAAATACACATACGCAGTCACCTGTGGACACTACCACTAAGGCAGTCACTCAGGTGAATGTACAGATTCAGAAAATAAATATGTGGTCATGCCTTCTACTAAGCAAGGAGATAGAAAAACCAAGAAGGTACAGTCTTTGCTTCCAGGAGTTACAGATAAAGTCTCATCTCTCCTGAAAAATATTATAAATCAAGTAGCATGGGAAAACTGGAATCAGGGAAGTTGGAGCAGGTGGGCTTCACATCGCAGGACAGCTCTGTACTGAGTCTGCAGAAATGAGTGGACTTTTTCTGGCAGAAAAGACGGGAGTGATAAGACAAGTGAAGAGACAAGTGAAGGGGGTGTTCAGGTGAGATGACCCTGGCAAAAGAGGAGTCCATATGAAGGGGAGTTGTGGGAGGTGACAATGGAGAAGCAGGTTGGGACAAACTGTGAAAAGCTTTGTGGGCCAACAAATGGCCAACAGGGAGCCACAGGGAAGGTTTCTGGAGGAGGTAGTAAAGACATTGCATAGGAACTGGAAGAGACTTAGAGCAGACAAACAAGTTTGGGAGAGTATTTTGGACTAGAAATGACAAAGGCCTTGCAGATGCCAGATGGGGAAGACATCTGAGGGAGAAATGGTAGCATTTAGGCACTGCCAGGGTGTCAGGGAGTAAGTTTGCAAGAAGAGGGAGGAGGCCAGGCTGATAGGTGACTGGTGGTTGTTCATTCCTGAGACTAGAATAAGAGGGGCAGGGAGAGGCTAGCACTTAGGTTTCCTTATGGAAAAAAAGCCACCAAAGCATTTTGGTACCTGGACTATTTTTGTTTTTTAGTTTTTTGTGAGATGGGGCTTGAACTTCAGGCCTCATGCTTACGAGGTGAGTGCTCTACCCCTTGAGCCACACCACAGCACTAGATTACTTTTTAAAAAACTACCTGTACTACTTTTTCACTTCCTTTACTACTGTATAACTTACTGAATACTTTGCCACTGAACACCCAAAGGTGAGCAGTCTAACTCATTGTTCTCTCTGGATAAATATTCTTTTAATTACATACATTATACAACTGATAATAAGGATATATCCAAGATTCACAAAGAGAACAATTATGTGCTCCAGGTTACTATGCGGAATTATTTTCAGAACCAAGAAAAGAAGTATGGATTTACATCAGTGCTATCCACAGCTTAAACTGTAGAGAGGAGAAGGACAAGTAGACTTGGTTACATTGCTGTAAGACAAAGCTTATCCCTTATTATCACAGAACTCTCTCTCTTTTTTTTTTTGGCAGCACTGGGGCTTGAACTTAGTGCCTTGCACTTGCTAGGCAGGAGCTCCACCATTTGAGCCATACCCCTGGCCCTTTTTTGATTTTGTTATTTTTCAGATAGGTCTTGTGTTCTTGCCTGGGGCCAGTCTTAGACTGCAATATTTCTACCTACACTTCTTAAGAACCTGAGATTGTAGACATGAACCACCATGCCCAACTTAATGGTTGAGATCGGGTCTCTCTAACATTTTGCCAAGGCTGGTCTCAAATCTTGGTTCTCTCAATCTCTACCTCCTGGGTAGCCTCATTAATTTTTTTCCACACACTCATTGCATATATATTTATTAGGTGCCTAAGGTCTGGAAATACAACAGTAAACAAATAAGTATGCTCTAGTACTCACAAAGTCATAGTCTCACAGGGGAGAGAAAGTGTTAACAAGCACATATATTGAGAGACAGGCCAAGACTGGAGTCAAATAAGGTGCTGTGATAAAGAAACTAGGGAAACATACATCGGGGGGTTCAAAGAAGATGTGGATTAAAGAGTCAAATGATTAGTAAGTTCAAAGACATTCTGCACAGAAGAAATACGCAGGGAAGCCAAAGGTAGGAAATGGGGCGGAGTTGTTGCTGTGGACAGGGGATGTGGTATTTACTCAAAATCCCTACGACGTGATCAGCACTGGGGGAAGTAGCACCTTGTATTTAATTAAAAGTATTCTTTTATTGCTTTTACATCTTCTCCATTTGTGCTCCTTTACCTAGCCGCTGTCCTAAATATAAAGTTAAAGTAAAAAATCGTGCCTGTGCAGTGGATGCTGTGGTGTTCTGTTCTGAGGCATCTCTCCAGGATGGAGGGAGGGGTTGACCTACCCAGGTGGAGGGAGTGTCACCCCCATGATCTAGGTCAAGTTCCCCTTTATCACAGCCCCACTGGGGATGGGAGAGTCTAGCTCCAATGACTGGTTGGTACAGGGGTGTAAGGAGCAGGAGCTCTGAACAGCCCTAAGGCAGGTCCCAGAGTTCCCAATGGGACCTTTGGAGGCCTTCCCTGGGGAAGCATCGCTCCTGCTCCACTTCCTTCACCCTCCCCAAGGGTGCGCCCCAGTACATGTCCAGTACAGAAATCCAGTCCAGAGTCTGTTGCCAGAGAACCTGAACGAAGACAGTGAGTGAGTTCTGTCTACACATGCATCATTTTATAGGCAATAGTTCAAAAATGCTGCTTCCTGCTTAGCATTTGAAGGAAATCTGATGATGGTTGAGCACTTACCTGTGTCAGGCTCTGTTCTAAGAACTTTATATGCATGCATACTTCATTTAATTGCCACATCAATACTTTAGGTATTGTTACCATATGTAATAAGTTATGAATATGGAGCTAGGGATATTAAATGACTTGCCCAAGGACACACAGCAGGTGAAAGGTGGAATAAAGTATAGAACCTAGCAGCTCTCCAAGTGTGTGCTCTCAGCCATCCCAAAATGTTCTTCCCTAGGACTCACTCATTATAGTAGAACACTAAATGCTTTTCCCCATTACTGTGGCTTCCTATGATAAAAACCCAAAAAAGCAACAAACACTTTGTTTTTAATTTGCATGCTTATAATTAAATTATTTATTTATTAGTAACTTGTTCTGAAGAAGGATCAGAAAGGAAACTCTAAGTATTCTAAGATTTTAAGATTCTGTTTATGGGTTCCTATATATAATTTACTGCAAGGCAGATTAACAGTCATTTAGGAAATTAAAAGATGAGAATACTGTGCTTGAGGAAACCTTATATTTTCACAGTCATACATTGTTATGATTGTCTATTCCCTGTGAATGTCCTTTCTCTCAACTGCCCTGACATGACATAAGAATTCACAATTTAATCTGTAAAGAAAGAATAGATAAAATTAGAGATCTTACCTGTCCAATGATAAGAGGAACCACAACGGTCATAAAAAGCTGAGAAAAAATAGATGTAAAAGGCACAGAAGAGGATGAGCCAAGCTGCAAAACCAGAAAGCAAGAATTAGAATGACTTTCAATCAGTAACCAAATACCACTGTTAATTAAATAATGTAATACATGAATTTCATTTCTATAAATTCCTCTCATCTGCACCAAAAAATTGATAGCTATCAAGAAAGAACATGTGAAGTTTCCTCTAATTTTTTAAATTTATCACAAAATAGGGTTTTAAGTATTTAAAACATAATTTTTATTAGGAGACTAGGCTTAAAGAAAAATGATAACTATTGAAGAATAATCAGCTAAAATTATCTATTACCTAATACATTTCTGAATAGTAAAGTCATTTTTGTGTCTGTACAAGCATATAGCATCATATCTCAACTATAATAACTTATGTGACTTTTATTTCCTCTGTTTGTAAATAAAATAAACAAGTATGTCTTATTCTGTTTTACTAGGATAATATTTTTATTTATGTAAACGAAAGTCTCTGACTTTCCCATTCCTTCAGGTCAAAGACTATTGTCTTTAATCTTAGATTCTTTAGAATTTATTCTTACATAAGGCCTAGCAAATGGAAAATCCTAAAACAACTCATCTTTCAACTTTTGATCCTCTTGCCTCAAACTCCTGAGTGATGAATTACAGACATGTATCACAAAGCCTGGTGTTGATTTCTAATTTTTGCATGAGTGGTTTATCAAAATCTTTTCTCCACCCTGGTGCATCTAATAAAATTCTGTTCCTGTCCTCAGTCACAGTTTATATACACTCAAGATACTAAGAACATGCATCTCACCCATTAGCGACTCTGCATTCACTTACTACTAGCTTTGGTACTGACCCATAAAAACTGCAGCCACTAGCTCGTTTCCTCTACAACCAACGTGAAGTAATGAAAGGAGAATCAAAACAGAAAAACTGAAAGTGATGAAGAACACATGGGATTCCTGTTGTGCTAAATGGTCTGTGCTTTGCAGGTGTTTTTGTTTATGCAAAACTGAAGTATTCAAAGCTAATAATTATACCCAATTTTATAGCAAGAGTGCCTTTGAACCACAATGTGTTAACAAATATATTCGCTCCACAAATGTTAATTTGTTCTGGGGGTAAGGACTAAAATAAAGAAAGAAAAATAAAAAAAGGTTTTACAGAGAAATCGACACACCGGATGAATAGCAAAATTAACTTTAAAGTTATCAAGTTCAAAATTACCCAACTCAACATTCTATTCATAAGGTTTACAGTGTTAGGAGAGAGGCAGCTGAATTCAGAGTAATAACCTTCATGAAAAAGGTGACGATTCTTACTTGGAATCTCATAACTGATCTTACATATCCCTAGCTCCTCTTTCTATCTCAATTTTATTTTAAGACAAATTAAAAAAATTTATAACCATTCCAAGCTATATTGCCTCTGGAAGCCCAGAGAAATAATGGGAAATTCAATTCAACTTTGGTTTTTGAAAATATTATGTATTTTAATTTCTCCATCTATCAAATACCAGACCACTCACTGATCTGTTCAATATTTTGGAGCCTCATGTTATTAGAAGACAGTGGAACAAAGTGACAGGTTAAGGAAGACATTGCTTATGGTCCCTAAAGTCCCTTTGTCCTCCAGAATGCCTAGGACCTCGAATCCACTTGATTAGAAACACAGGTTAGAGCCACCTTCTCTGGGGCCCTGTCAGAGACAACAGCAAGCTAGCCAGGGATGGCATTAAGTGGGTACCCAAAGCCAGAGGAGGGATGGCAGGGATGCTGGGGAGGAAACCCTGCAGGATGGCTTCCTTAGAAGTGACTTGGAAAGGAAGGCAGCCTCAGTAGTGGAGTTTAATTTGGCATGAGTCCTTTCTTTTGAATCAGTCACCAAACCTGTCACTGTGGTCAGGGTGAAGAGGGAGAGGTGCCCTTGGGGAAGTTTCTGGGGCTGTGAAGTGTGCCCTGGCATGCAGAAGAAAGAGGAGAGAGCATCTGGCACAGGGCAGCTCTGAGAGCATGACTGGCCCTAACACTTTGTATGTAGGGTTGATTGTAACTAAAGCAGAAGGAAATACACTGCCTGAGATATCTGCTCGTCACATTTTAATGAGGGACCTGTTGTGGTTAGAAGATGCTTAAAAGATGCATTAATAGTTTGTAGGAAAAGTTTGCAGGTTCAGGATCAGCTTGTGTCAAGCAAGTACCCTGGGCTTTGCTTGAGCTACCCCAGCAGATTTACAGGTAGAATGTCTCATGCTGCCCCAAGCCAGGCTTTAAGATACAGCATGTGAGACAAATGACCAGTCACTGGCTAATTTCTTGTAGGAAGAGATAGTACTTTAAAGCAGAAAACTCACAAGTACCTTGGCTTGAATATCTTATATGTTGAGAAGAAATGACTTGTGAAAATTAAGTAGGAGGGAACTTAGGTCCCCTGCGTTCAATCACTCATGCTTCCTGTGAGCCAGGAACACATTCTAGCACTGGGGACGTAACAGTGGACAAAACCTGAAAGCCCCTTTTCTCGAGGGCTTCCTTTCAAAGTTGAGATCTGTGTGCATGCATATCCATCGGGGAGTACATGTGCACTTCTCACTCCGGAATATCATTCCCCCGTAACTGGAAAAATTCAAGTCTTTTTTCCAGGACTTGGTGTAAGTATCACTTCCTTAGGAATTCTTTCTAAAAGTTCCTCCTCAAGTGCTCCATTGTCCCCTCCTCTTTTGGGAACCACTGTTCTCATGTTTCCAGTCAGAATCCTTGTTTGTGCTTGTTTACAAATCTGTCTCTCTGAAGTCTGGAAGCTCTTGGAGGTCAGAATACTGTCTTATTCACTGTTTACTTCTAGGGCAATGGTTCTTAAATTTTAGCACATCAGAAACATCTGGAAGGCTCTTTAAAATACAGACTTACTCCCCAGCCTCCATCTTTTTGATTCAGAGAGCCTGGGGAGAATGGTGAAGGATGGAGATGATAGAAGTTTCATTTCTAACAATGTTCCAGGAGCTGTTACGGCTGCTGCTTCTGCTTTGTGGGGCTCACACTTTGAGAATCACTGAGTGCACAGAAGGTGCATGGCTTATGCATGCCTATTAGAGAATGATATAATACATAGGTGGGAAAAGAAGCTTGCATTCATCCAACTCCATTCATGTAAGTTACAAAGTCCTACTCAAGGACCGAAGAAAGATCAGCCTGGCCTCCATCCAGTTGTCTCCTACACTTTCAACAGCAACGTGGCTTGAAGCATTCCTGTGTGACAGATGCTGCTTTAAATACTTAATGTGCATCCAACATAGCAACCCCTTGAGGTAGGGCTAATTATTACCCCATGTCCAGTGGGAACAGTGACACAGAACAGTTAACCAAACTGGACAAGGTCACCATAGCTAGAAAGTGACAGAGACAAGGGCTAAACCCAGAGGTGTAGCTCTAAAGCCCTCACACTTCATCCTTATATTCTGTGACATAATGGTAGTGATTACAGAAGGTGTAGAGAGTGGGGGAGAGGATAGGAGTGGAAGCCAAAGCTCAGCTCTCCTTACCTTGCCTAGTGAGAGAGGGAGTGTGTGTGTGTACATACATGCATATGGATGGGGAACTGGTTCTTTTCTCAATGGATTTCCTGGTTTGAACCCAGGACACAGAAGATTATTTGAGTGACTATTTTTCCAACATTCCCAAGGATGATACATAACTATTAGTAGGGTGGATGCATCAGAGAGAAGTTAATTCAATACACACAATGCCTTAGAGCATTAGGGCTTAATTCTCAGAGAAAGTTTGAATGAAAGCCTGGTTGACTGCTGTCAATCCAACCAATTTAGAAACTATTTCAGTCGGGAAAAACAGGAGTCTAGCTGCTAAAGTATTATGGGACAAACAAGTGACACTTCTGATGAAGAGACGCAGACTGTCTGCAGAACTGTAGTTATCAACAGACCGTTAGAAAACAGATGGTGTATTTTAAATCACTCCTGTAAGTGAGCTGACCTGTAAATTGTCATTAATGCACCAGGTCTTCACTTGCTCTGCTGTGTAATCAGCCTTTTATCTCCTATCAGGGAAATCCATTAGCCACAGGCGTCGCCAGTATTTGTGTCTCTTCTCAGCTATTAAAACATTATTGTATTAAATAATTCACCCTTGATGATTGGCCTTCACTTTCATTAGCAACACATTCAGGGAAAAATAAGAATGGATATTTACAGTTGATACTGCAGAATGATGAACATTAAATCTCTTTTGCTAGAAAATCAAGAAAAAGTAGCTTCAGAGAGAGAACGAGATTTGTTCCCTTCCTGCCCCATCACCACCCTCCCTGCATTACCCCAGGGCCCAGCCCTGGGAGAAGGAGAGGAAGAATTTGCTTCCTATTGAATATAAGGTTCTGGTACCTACTATCTGGTACCTCCTTCCTGTCGCAAAGACCACATTTAGACTGAAGAAGGGAGAGTCCCCCCAAACCTCTCCAGAAGTCTTCCTTTTCCCAGGAGCTACAATTCCGCCCTTCCCTCTTTTCCTGTTGCCCTTTTCTCACAGGGACACATGCAAACTAAACTGATTACTTTCACAAAATTGACCAGCGCTAGGTGACAGACTGAATGTAAAACTGGCTATGATTTTAGGAATATGTTTGTTAAACAGCCATACTGATTCAGTTGCATACATCAAACTACAATTGGGTTATTACACAGAAAGTATATTTAGAGGAGGAAGTGATCTTCTTATAGCAATAATGCATGGCCTTCTTTTCTTCTCTGAGAAATAAAGAACAAAATAAGCTTTAAAAGATTTTTCAAAGATAAAATTATTTTGTAAAGCTTGGCTCCATTTTTAAAAAATTTTTATTGTTTTATTATTCATATGTGCACACAATGCTTGGGTCATTTCTCCCCCTTCCCCCACCCCCTCCCTTACCACCCACTCCACCCCCTCCCTCTCCCCCCCACCCCCTTGATACTCGGCAGAAACTATTTTGCCCTTATCTCTAATTTTGTTGAAGAGAGAGTATAAGCAATAATAGGAAGGAAAAAGGGTTTTTGCTAAATG